ACAGGTTCTGGATAAAAATCAAACCTTCTGTTGTCCTTGAAAAGTCAGCTGCTGGAAGCAGAGAGAAAACCCATTTTCTGTTTCAAATCTACCTTTTTGTGTTTCAGTTGGGACTCTCAGCTCCTTGGCTTCACCTTCAATGACATGTTTATTCGCATCTCCACCCGCCTTGCCTCCAAGTACCTCATGGCTTTGGGAAACTGAGCACACGTCCTATAGGAGGGCTTGGAGTGGCACACTTGGGGATGTTCTCCGAGACCAGCCCCAGGGGTGGGACAGAGCATTTGGGATCTGTGTCTCTGCTTCTCTCCACCCACACTACTCAGGCTTCAGGCTTCATCTTCCCAAACTCTACTTGGTCATCTCATTCTGGTTTTAGACGAGTGGGCCAATTCTCAGGCTCCTTTGTTTCATGTGTTTAATTGACTTCATGGAGAAAACTAGACCCATATTAGCAAACACTTTTATGTTGATTTCTTTCTCAAGTGTAGTATCTTTTAAACTCCTACTGCTTTACTCCCATGACTCTCAGTACAAGAAAGAGAATTCCTACGGTGTCACCCCTACATGGGGCTGGAGGAGGACGGCAGTGCCTGGTGTTCCTGCTGAACAGCAATGCCATGGGTAAGGCCGTCCAGCGCCTCCCTTATTTTGGGGGCTGCCAATCATGCTTAGATCAGTTTAGAATGTTTTTAGCCCAACTGTTCCTTGAAGTCAAAATTTTCATTTTATGGGCATTAGTGTTTATTTTTTCTTTGTCTTTAGCCTTTCTATTTATTTCAGTATAGGATCATGTGATAAGAGGATTTAACCCAACCCTCATTTTTGGTAAAAAATCACATAAGAAGGGATAGTAACACCACATGGGTCCCAAATATCCTGAGAGAGCGCTCGTGGGCTTAGTTATATAATTTGAATTAGGGTAAAACTATGGGTCAGAGAAGTTAGTCTGGGGGTCTGAGGGTGTATGGTACATTTGAATTACCTACTCCGAACACTATGTTTGCTATCTGAGTAACAGGATTCACACTCCAAATCTCAGCATCGTGCAATATTCCCATATAGCAAATGTGAATGTGTGCCTCTTTATCCAAAATAAAAGTTAAATGTAAAATAATTTTATAAAGTGAAGATGACAAAATATAGTAAAGTACACAAAAGTCAAGCCCAGAAATGGGACCTGTGAGCTTCACTGAACTTCTTCAGTTCTGTGTGTGGATAATAAGAAATGCACTGCTCTTACCACTCTCTGCAGCGGTAGGAGGTGCAGGAAGATGGAGAATGTGTGAATTTCAGGGGTGATGGCGGAAGGTTTCCCTCGTGATGTGGAAGGTTTCCATGTGGGTTGGCATTTTTCTTCATTTCCAGATGTGGCAGTTCCAGCCCCTGCCTGCCTTGACATACCGTACCACAGGGGGAGTTCTGGACTTTTATGTGTTCTTGGGGCCAACTCCAGAGCTTGTCACCCAGCAGTACACGGAGGTAGGAAGAAATCCAGCTGTTTATCAAGCACTTATACAGCACATTCTGGATGCCAGAGCCCACATTGATTAGTGTAACTCTCAGATGATAGCACAAATATTGGTCTTTGTTGGGAGAGGTTATAGAATAAGAAAAAATAAACACATTCAGATTATCATTAAATGTATAGCGTCTGTAAGCATTGCAGAAGAGCAGATGTTATGGAGTGGTACTAATGATGGTGATGGTAGTGATAGTGTGGTGGTGGTGGTTTTTGTGGTTATGGTGTTGGTGGTGATGATAGTAGGGGCTGACGGTGGGGACAGTGATGTGGGAATGGTGATAATGATGGTGTGTAGTGGTAGTGTTGGTGATGGTGGTGATAGTGGTGGAGGTGGTGTTGAGTGGGTGTGTGTTGGTGATGGTGGTATGTTGATGATGATGGGGGTGGTGGTGGATATGGTGGTGGTAGTGGTGGTGACAGTGGGGTGGTGTGAGGAGTATGGTGGTGGTAGTGGTTGTGATAATACTGATGATGGTGGGGGTGGTGGTGGTGTTTGTGGTGGTGATGGTGTTTGTGGTAGTGATGGTGATGATGGTGGTAGTTGTGGTGGTGGTGACAGTGGGGTGGTGTGAGGAGTATGGTGGTGGTAGTGGTTGTAATCAATACTGATGATGGTGGGGGTGGTGATGGTGTTGTGTGTATTGATGATGATGATGGTGGTTATGGTTATGTGGTGGTGGTGGTGACGGTGGGGTGGTGTGAGGTGTGATGTTGGTGATAGTGGTTGTGATGATAGTGGTGACGGTGGGGATGGTGAAGGTGGGGTGGTAGTGGGGTGGTGGTGATGGTAGTGAAGGGTGTGATGATGGTAATGATGGTGGTGGAGGGCATGACGGTGGTAGTGGTGGTGATGGTGAAAATAGTGATGGTGGTGGTGACCATGGTGGTTTTGCTTGGCAACCCAGCGTCTTATGTACTACCTACTGCACATCACCGATTTAATGCTGCTGTCTGTTAGAGCACTTCGCACATAATCAACTCCTTCAGTCCTCACAAAGGACTCTGAGGCAGAGCTATTATTATACCCTTATTTACATGAAGAAACTGAAGCACTAAGAGTTTACTTAATTTTTGCCTAAAGTCACACAGGTAGCAGGACTGGAGCCTATATGCTAAGCCAGGCATTTGTCTCTGATTCTGGGCTTCTTAATGAGTTACCTACAGTGTCTCTAGGAATGGAGTAAAATCAGCTTTTCCATAATTTTTAAGAAGGAGCTCAAGTCTAGCAGAAAGCTTTCTCCAAGTATCCCAGTGGCTCTATATCCTGTCAGTTTTGATGTGGATTTCAATTAATTGATTGTCTAAGCTTAGGGCATGGAAAAATATTCTTATTACTTTGTAAGCTTCAATCTGGTGCCTCTGTTCTGAGGATAATATTTTCTGTCTATTTTCTAGTTGATTGGCCGGCCTGTGATGGTACCTTACTGGTCTTGGGTTTCAAAAGCTGTGTCGCTATGGATACCAGAGCGACTCTGGGAATCACCAGCTTGTATGATGACATGGTGGCCGCCCAGATCCCTTATGTCGTTCTCAGTCTGGCTCTGGAGTTTGAAAGTATACTTGGTGCCTGTGTCTGGAGTTCATTTGTCTAGTATTTGTGGGATTCTATAAAGACATAATGTTCTTTTCAGACCATATCAGCCTCACCCCAGCACAGTCATATAGGTAAGGGTGCTTGTTTCCATCTTCTAGAGATGATAGCTCAAGATTCACCATGACTTGCCAGAGGGGGAGATAGGCTGGCTCAGGGCTTTTCTGCTATCTATGCTTCCTTCCATTTCTTTCACATGTCTTCAAAACATTTAGTCAAAACATCCTTGGTTCCATAAGAATAAATGATATCCCACAGTTCTTTTACTTAATTCTTGAAAAAAACTAACCCCAGTCAGACCATTGTATATGTGGATACGACCTCATTTCCTGCAGCCCTGGTGCTGTAGCACAGTGTCTGTCGACTCTGGAGTTATCACTGATGGAATACACGGATCCTGACATGGGTTTCCAGAGGGCAAACATATATAAATAAACCTTATCTTTCACTGGAGAGTGGGAGGGGACCCAGTCATCAGGTAATCAGTGTACCATCGCATATCTAATTTTTATTCTACTACATTTCTGTTGTTTTAATAGTTCCATTAGTGAACATAGTGTTTCCATTGATGAATGGTAAAATGCAAAATATTCATTCTCCATAAGAATGTTGTATCTAAATTCCCTCAGGTTGGTATTCAACACCTATACATTATTATTCTTTGTTTGATATGTTTGCAGTAGATTTATCATCCACATTGTATTAGCCCTGGGTAGTTAACAATATTTTTTCTAAGCATGAACCACTGATACCAGGGGAAGCCTCTTGGGGGAGGTCATCACAATCACACCCGACAGTGGCAGTTTACAAAGCACTGTCCAATCAGTGTGCTTATTTATCCTAGAATAGCCGTGTTAGGCATTCTCATCCTATTTTATGCTGACTTAAGGTTTTTTCTATTTGATCACTGAACATTTTAAAAATTAAGTGAATTTCCCAGCACCTGTACCTAATAAATGGCAGAGCTGGGATTTGGCCATCAACAAGCTGTCTGGAATTCCACCATGGGTGGTGGAGGGTTGTTCTCCTGTAAAGCAGTAGCCACAGCAGCAACCACTCAGCTCCCCGTGTCCTCCACTGGGAGCGTGCAGTACTCAGACATCGACTACATGGGCCCGGCAGCTGGATACCCTCGGCCCAAGTTTGCTGGGTTTCAGCTCTGATCAATCGCATGAAAGCTGATGGGATAAATTCATCCCTCATTCATAGTTGATGTGATGTAGATATTATGCCGGTCTGTTTGGGAACGAGTATGGGCTTTGGTGGAGAAAGAGTTATACTTTATTTCCATGTTGCAAATAGATAAATTGAAGTGCAGTAAGAATTCTGTATTTCCCAGGACTCACAGATGGACTACAGTTCAGTGAAGCCAAGAGTTCGCCTGGAAAAGTTCTCCTTTATTCTGTTTCTCTTTATTCCCTGGCTTTGGTTTTCCCAACTGACTTGGCACAGTTTCAGGATCCAGCCATTTCTGGCAGCTGGGACCCAACCTATCCTGCCTTCACTCCCGGGGCTTGGAAGTCTTGTCATACCATCAAATACCCAAACAGTGGAGACATTGTCTGGGAAAGGTATAATCTGAGGATGATCCACTAGTCTGTAGCCTGAGGGTGGGTCACAGTTAGTGGGTCACATGCCTGTGTATGTTATTTCTGGCGTTTCTTTTTTGGGCTCTGAAGATTAGGAAAATACTCTTTTCTCAAACAATATTTGATACAGTTAACAACTTTTAAAGTAATGTAAGCATTGCTGGAATTCACTTTTCCGTGAATCCTACATGATAATCAAGTATCATTGCTCCTAGGACATGGTTTATATAACAATTTTTTTGGAAATCTGCAAGGAAACTGTCCGTGCATCGCTACTGAGCGTGTTTCTCTCCATAGGTCTGGCCCGATTTTCCTGGTGTTGTTGTGAATGAATCTCTAGACTGGGACAGCCAAGTGGAGGTAAAAGGGTCTTTGTCAATTTGGGTGGAGTCAGGGTTTCTAGGCAGGAGCAGCCCTTCCTGGGATTCTAGACATGCCTGTGCAAGTGGACATGGGCTTGGCAAGGAGGCGAAACACTTAGGGGATGTGTCTTGGGTGTCAGTCTGTGCCAATTAGTTTTACATGGGTAATACTTTTACTGCCCACTGGGATGTAGATATGTGTTATTATCCTTGGGATTTAAGACCAGAGAGCTCAAATTACTTGTCAAGGTTTAGGTGACTTGTCCACAGTTTTAGGTGACAAGTGCTGATTTCAATTTCAAGGCTGTCAGATTACAAAGGCCCAAGAAATTTCCACTTTTCCTCCGAAAAGTGCTATCTTTTCTCTGAACTAGTATACTTACTGTTGTTGCCTTGGTTATCCACTTTTTAAACAGTCTTCAGCCCTCGAAGACTGACTAGGTCTTTTCTTTGTATGTATTTTTGTTTTCCCCCATGAACAGGTTTCTCCATTTCCCTTATAAGTCCCTCCTTTGAGCGCAATCCTTCCTTGGGTTTCTCAACTTTGTTTTTACCTCTCAGTTTCCAGCCTTGTGTGAAACCTGCTCTCTCCTGAGGACGATTTGTTGCTTGTAATGGATCCGTAGCCCAGGCTTCTGAACCTGAATTTTTCCAGATTCACTAGCGTTTCTTGCTTGAATGAATACATGGCTCCTTACAGGTCTGAGAAGCCTACAGCCCCATCCTCTGTGGCCAAGATGTGTGTCTCTGAACTGAGGCAACCTTCCCAGGCTTTACTATCAATTTTTTGTGACAGTTCCCACAGTGTGGGGTTGTCAGGGTGGGGCCGAGGACTTTCCTGGGTAGCAGTACCTTGCCCTACACGCTTGAGCTGTTCTTCAATAATGGTTATTCTATCTGGGCAGGAACTCTAGCAGGGCATGTGCCAGCCTATGTGACCCCACAGGAGGCAGGAGACGGAAAAGGCCTCTTCTCTTAGGACATCTGCCAGGGTGGAAGGGATAAAGCTGTCCTGTGCAGTCAGCAATGTGAGTATATATTTGTAGAGACTAGATACTGTCTCAGGGTCAAGTATTAATCAGAGAAATATCCATATTGTGGGAACAAATCCCAGCAGTTGTAAATTCAGTTAGCAGCCACTCAGAAGCCCAGGCGTGAAGACCTCTTTTGGGAGTTCTTTCTACATAATGTAAGATCGTAGCCCATGGACAGAGATGCAGGAGAAACATTCCAGTCACCAGGAATGTGACTACAGCAAGTTAGGCCAAATATTCACGCCTTATCCAGATAAGTTGATTTTCCGGGCAAGTGGTGAGTCTAGAGGAAAGACATAGATTAGACAGAACCACACAATCTGGAGCCAGGGGCTAAGGCCTGGCACAGCTCCAGTAGGGTAGGGAGAACAGATGGTACTGCAAACCCGTGATGCGTTCTTCTCTGGTGTCAGTCTCTGACCTCCTGGATCCCAGAGCCAGTTGGCAGCAGTAACACTTTTTAATTTAAAATGAGACACACTTGGGACCAGGCTGCTTGGCTATTGGACTGCATGTCTTTATTTACTCTCAGTAGATGCAGTAAAAGAAAACGAACAAAACAGAACCTGGGGTAGGTTTTGAAGATTGACAAGAACCAGTCAGACTCAGTTCAAGGCTGGTTTCCTTTTGTCTACAGACAGAGTATCTATCTATTTATGTATATCTATGTATTTATCTATCTATCTACAACTATCATGTCTATGTATCTATCAGTCGATCTATTAATTCATCCACATTATCTATCTATCTATCTATCTATCAATCAATCATATATCTATTATCTACTTCATCTATCTGTATCTGTCTGTCTATCCACTGTATCTACTCAGGTTATATCTATCTATCTATCTATATATCATCTATCTATCTGTCTACTTCATCTATCTGTATCTATCTGTCTGTCCTATCCACTGTATCTACTCAGGTTATATCTATCTGTCTGTCTGTCTATCTATCTATCTATCTATCTATCTATCTATCTATCTATCTATTCATCCATCCAGCCACCCTATTCATTTATATCTATGTGTCTCTGTCTATCATTCTATGCTATCTATCTATTCTCTATCTCTACCTTTATTCATCCTCACCTATCTATCCAAATCCCTCATCTATCTATCTATCTATCTATCTATCTATCTATCTATCTATCATCTATCTACCTATTTATCATCTATCTCTATGTATGTATGTATGTATGTATGTATGTATACTATTCAAGGGAGAAGACTTTGCTTCCTGTCCTCTGAAGTCACCTGCCACAGAGAATCTCTTGAGCTTAGGGGTCAAGCAGCCCACATGGACACAGGAACCTGCCCATCCAGAGAAGTTCTGGGTCATGGGCTTCTTGACTTTTATCAAGTAGTCAGTATCAGAGACACAGTTCATCAGCCAGTAGGAGCAACACTGCATCCTGAGGCAATTTGGAAATCGAGAACAGTGTTGGTTATCACAGGGACACCAGAGGCATTCAATGGGCAGTGGGGCAAAGTGTCGATAGCTCTGATTGCAGGAATTCTCCACAAAATATCTCTCACCTCAAATGCCAGTTGTGCCCCTGATGAGAAACTCTTCATTAGGGAGTCACAGAATCTGTTAGTTAGCTCATAAGAGATAAGTCTTAGATGGGATAATTATATTTATTGGTTTGGTACAAAGGTAATTGCGGTTTGCCACTGAAAGTTATTAAAAGTAGGCCGGGCACAGTGGCTCACACCTGTAATCCCAGCACTTTGGGAGGCTGGTCACGAGTTCAGGAGTTCAAGATCAACAACCAACCTGGTGAAACCCCATCTGTACTAAAAATACAAAAATTAGCCAAGCGTGGCAGCACATGCTTGTAATCCCCGTTACTCAGGGGGCTGAGGCAGGAGAATCACTTGAACCCAGGAGGCAGAGGTTGCAGTGAGCCAGATTGACCCACTGCACTCCAGCCTGGGCAACAAAGCCAAGACTCCATCTCAGAAAAAGAAAGAAAGAAAGAAAAGTTATTAAAAGTAATGACAAAAACTGCAATTACCTTTGCACCAACCTAATATTTATATTGTTAATAATAAGTCCCACTCAATGAAGCTGGTGAGATGAACCACTGATATCCAGGTCTGGCAACTACACTGAATATAAAACAAATAGCCAAGAGTCCCACAGCAGATTTCTGAGTCAAAGCTCAGTGGTTTAATTCAATAAGTATGAGATCTATGAATTGCGTTTCGCATGTGATGTGCTACAAAAAAAGACTGCTAGGGGACCTGAGGCCCAGTGTGTGGGTGGAGTGCACGTCACTGTTTGAAAAGTGGAGAAAGTGAAGGCAGAAGCCACAAAGCGAACTTGAATATGCACAGGTATAAGGCAGAGCCAGCAAGTTGAAAACGGCAGAACATTTTTTATGAAGTTGGTAGGGAGTCATCGGAGCAGTACTTAGGGAAGTTCCTACATCATGGCTGGCCAGGTTCCCCACGTGTACCCTGTGTGGGATACAATTCTGACTCAGATGTGGCTGATACTCTCTTTATTCTAATTCTCCATCCCCACCTATCCATTGTTTCTAACCCTGCGTGATCTGGAGCCCTCTGTTTCTGATGAAAGGTTATCTTTGTCCCGAGTTCCTGGTTTCTACCTCCATTTCCTCACAAAGGCATCCCTGGCAAGCCCACTTCTCTCTCAAGATTCTGCGTGATTGTGACCGCTGTCTTCTCACATCCTTGACAGCCAGACCATGTAGGCTGATCTGTTTCTGTTTTCTTGTATATTTCCTTTTCTTGCCCTTTATGTAGACATATGGGTTCCTACCTGCCTTTTTGTCTGTTGTGTATAAGAACTGGAGTTCCCTAGACCAAATCCTCATTCTGTTGCCTACCCCACCCTCCTCACCAGCATTCTTTAGCTCTTTAACTCTTACACTGGTGCTTGATTATGTAAAGGAGACTATTTACTGAGACATACAAAAGGACCATAATGTTCCATAACAAGCAACATTTATTTGCTGCTTGTAAGAGGTGTGAACCCACCATTAAACAGTGAGTATATCTTTTGTGTCAAGTTCTAAGCTAAGCATTGTACAAATATAAATATCCCTTAGATGAATATAAAACAAGCTTCTTGCTCTCAAAGTCTACAATGTAGTTAAGTTGTATCTGGCTGGGCACGGTATCCCATGCCTGTAATCGCATCACTTTGGGAGGCTGAGGTTGGTGGATCACTTGAGGTCAGGAATTTAAGAACAGCCTGGCCAACATGAAGAAACCACCTCTCTACTAGAAATACACAAATTAGCCAGGTGTGGTGATGCGTACCTGTAATCCCAGCTACTCAGGAGGTTGAGGCAAAAGAATCGCTTGAACCTGGAAGGCAGAGTTTTCTAGCCTGGGTGGGTGATAGAGCAAGACTCATCTCCAAAAAAAAAAAAAAAAAAAAAAAAGAGGTGTACCTTGAATCCATCTTTCAGGTTAAAACAAAAACAATGCTGTTATTATCTGAAGAAAGATGAGAATAAGGGGAAGTTGAAATGTCCTCTTTAAGTCCTCTCAATTTATGTTCCAACAGCTATAGTTGTCATGTGATTCTGGGGATTGTAGAAAACACAGGGTGTACGGTCTAATATCCTGAAATGTAATCTTACTCCTTCCTCCCCTCTCTCAGTGGGAATGACATAGGAGGGAAGGGAGGGACTCCTGGGTGTTTCTTCTATCCTATTACCATGCATCTTATGTCTGCAGTCTCTCTCCCTGGCTTTGTCTTTGAGGAGTGCTTAGGAAATGCAAGACAGCGTTGAGGGTTGGGGCGTTGAGTGCATGAGGAACCATGAGTTCGGGTGTTGATTGTCATCATCCATGTCAATATAAGAAGAGAACAATTTTTGGGGAAGTTTTCCAAGTGCTGGGAAGGTGTGCAAATTCCTAATTTCTCTTCTCATTCTACATTCTCTAATAAGCCAGTAACATTATTTAGGGCCTGTTCAGGTCATCTGTCACCATGCAGCTCCAGTATCTGTGTGAGTTGCATTCTCAGTAAGTGTCTGTTTGCTGTCTTATATATTTGTGTGGGACATACAGATTATATTTATATTTTACAGCTATATCGAGCTTACGTGGCCTTCCCAGACTTTTTCCGTAATTCAACAACCAAGTGGTGGAAGAGGGAAATAGAAGAACTATACAACAATCCACAGAATCAGAGAAGACTTGAAGTTTGATGGCCTGTGGATTGTAAGTGTGTGTGTGTGTGTGTCTGTGTACCTGTGGCACTTGTCTATCTTTGTGTGCCTGAGTATATGGACCACTGACCTTCAGTCAAGAGGATAGTCATTGTCCAAGGAAGACTTTGGACACATCAGACACTTCTCCTCTCCAGGAGGAACAGCCTGATAGCCCTCCCAGACTTATACCAGACCTGACGTTCCTACTATAAAACCTCTGAGGCAATTGACTAGGAATTTCTTGGAACTTTCGCTGCCTCATGCCCACCTTGAGAGAGATTTTTTTCACCCTCTAGCCATTTGTTCTGCAGGGGTGAATTAATCTTTCTAGCCAGTTATCACTAGGATTTGATGAAGCTCCCAGAGGCTGGCATCACAGGGGTTACTGGATGTTGAACAATTTATTCACTGCTTCCTTGGCTCAGAATTGGCCGGACGTAATTATCTTAAAAAGTAAGGTATGTCTGTGTTTGGTATTTCTAGGATATGAATGAACCATCAAGCTTCGTGAATGGGGCAGTTTCTCCAGGCTGCAGGGAGACCTCTCTGAACCGCCCTCCCTACATGCCGTGTAAGAAGCCTTGGCCTCCTTGTTTGGCAGAGCCATGATCGGAAGAAGGATTACACTGGAGGAGCCCCAAGGCCAGGGGGTGTGCCTGGATAGCTCAGGAGCACATCCTTAAGGCTTACTGTGGTTACTGGGGACCAGAGACAAAAGCTCTGCACATGCTTCACCCAGCTGGGCATGTGCAAGTGACTAGACTCATTGCACAAATTTCTTGAATTTGTCCAGAAATCACTTAGCAGTGCTCATGCCACCAAAGAGGTTCTCATAGGCTTGTTAGTTTTTGACTTATGTGAATTCCATCACAGGAATTTTGGTATCGTATTAGGCGGGAAATTATTAGCTTGTCATTATTGTGGAGCTGATGGACTTTGGAATTATACTTGGGTTCATATCTTAGCTCCAGAATTATTCTCTAGAGGTTTTGACTTTTCACAGATTGTCACGATATTTCAGAATTCGGTTTGCTGTACTGTAAAAGATAGATAATGAGGTCTTCTTCATAGAATTATAAATTACACATGAAATAATTGACACATCAAAGTCAAAATCAGAGTCTGTCATGTAGTGTTTGACAGCTTATGCGTTCTTCTGATACCTCCTGCTTTCTTCAGTGAACTTGATGTTGGAAACACTGCAGGTGCCATAGCAACTCGACTGGGGGCTCTGTGCTCATGTCTCTGGGAAGATGGAAGTGACCCAGGCAGGACTCAGTCAGTCTTAAGATCCAATGTCTAATCCTTGAGGAGGTCAGGGATAAACAGAATCAGGGCTGGATTTCACCTCACCAGTTCTTCCTCCTCCAGATTTGAGTCAGGGACAGAGACCTGAACAGCAAGACCCTGTGCATGGAGAAGTCAGCAGATCCTCCCAGGTATTCCCCGGTGCAGCACTACAATGTGCACAACCTGTACGAATTGGTCCCAGACCAGACCCACATACAGTGAGTCTCTGCCTTCTCCAGCTGTCTCAACCTGGGAGGATTGCCAGGGACTGACATAGGCACCCTAGTTTTCTTTCATTCCCATTCCAGGGGTTAAGAAGATTCTCATGACAACCGTGTAATGATTCTTATTAAACAAATGCTCATTGACGTGGAGCCAGGCCCTCTGATGAAAAGGAGGGTGACAGATTTAAATAAGACATGGTCACCAGTGAAAAGCAGTCCTGGGTGAGGAGCGACACACATAGAACACCATAATGATCACACAGGGCAGCCAGTGATTACAGTACTTTAGTTACAGGAGGTGAAGGGAACACAGAGACTGGGCATCTCTCCCCTTTATTTCAAAGTGAATCATCTTTGGAGACTTTTTTATTTTGGCCATTCTTGGTGGAGGGTAATTGGTATTCTACTGAATTAGCACAGTCCCGCTTTGCAAGCTCAACGAATGGTATGAATTCTTCTAAGAAGCCTTATGATCTTCACTGTGTTCCTCCTCAAATATAGAAAACTAAGTACTGAGCAAGCCAATAGCAAGATTTAGTGATTTCTTTCTATTTTGGGGCACTTCGGTAGATCACTACAGTGAAGTTCTTTGTAAACACTGTGAGAACACATGACTCGTTATCTCCATTATCAGGGATCAGTGAGCCCCCATTGCAGCTCAGCAGATTCCCATGTTCCCTCAATCCATAGCAAACATTGACTAGGCTCAAGGGCTCTGGGAGCAGAAGCTCTGTGGCCTTTGCTCCTTAACCGTGCCTCAGTTCACCTCCTGTTGCCCTCCAACCAGAGCCATGCAGGAGGTGACCCAGGGACAACGAGGTCGTCATCAGCCGCTCCCACATTTCCCTCTTCTGGCCGCTGGGCGGACATTGGCTGAGGAGACAACACGGCGCGCATGGGATCAGCTGAAGAAATCTATCATTGGTGCGTGGCTCCTTCCCAGGGCCTGTGCGGTAGGGCAGAGTTGGGATCCTTGGGAAAGGAGTGAGGAGGCGGGTGGTGAGAGCCTGGTGTGACACTGCTGTGCTTCTCATTGCAGGCATGATGGAGTTCAGCCTCTTCGGCATATCCTATGTGAGTGTCCTTAGGATCCTCTAAGCACCAAGAGGTGGGGACATCTTTCAGAAATCATCAGCAGGCTTGTTTTGGCTTCTTGTTTCAGACAGGAGCAGATATCTGGGTTTTTTCAAGATGCTGAATATGAGATGTGTGTTCGCTGGATGCAGCTGGGGGTAACACTGCCCCTTCTCAAAAAACCACAACACCATTGAGACCAGAATTGGACAATGGCTCCTACCTCCCGTGTTTCCTTGAAACACAATCTCCATTCTGATCTAAAGTTAATGGAGTCTGGATTTCCTGCGATATCTTTAAAAATTGTTTTCTTTTGAGACAGGGACTGACTCTGTTGCCTAGGCTGGATCGTGCAGTGTCCCAATAATGGCTGACTACAGCCTCAATCTCTGGGGCTCAAGAGACTCGCCCACCTCAGCCTCTTAGATAGCTGGGACTGCAAGCACAGCCACCAATGTGCCCAAGAACGTGTGTGTTTTGTACAGATGGGATCTTGCCATATTTCCCAAACTGGTCTTGAACTCCTAGCCTCAGCCTCTGAAAGTGCTAGGATTACAGGCATGAGCCACTACACCCTTAAAATTATTAGCGCTGTGGCCTCAAGTGAACCATATTCCTCTGTGTTTTTAGATTATTATTATATTTTGTTCTTGCTGTTTAGGCAGAATTGTACCAAATGTACCCAAAAAGAATGTCTTACAGTGAAATTTCGTTAGCTGTCCTAGGAGAACTACAGTAACCTTTTCCAGTCTGTTAAGAATGTTCTCTGGGCCTCATGTATGGTTATATTTTGTTTAGCTGTGAGTGATCTTCAGCAGAATATGCTTTCTTAAATCTCCTAGAAATTTCAGGGTGACCTCCCAACACTGTTCTCTTTCTCCTTTAGAGACAAGACCCTGTGTCCTCGAAGTGCTTTTGTGAATATTTCCAGAAATGTCACCAGAGACCAGATACACCCTGTTGCCATATCTGTATACTTGATGCATAAAGGCCCACACGGGGCGTCACTGTTGTGCGGCCTCTGCTTCATGAGTGAGTGTCCAGCAGGGATCCCGATGACTAATGGATGACTTACTGCATTCTATATAATTGGGAGTTGAATTCTTCCCGAATTAAAAGACATGATTGCTTTTGTGGGCTCTTCAGGTGAAGACCATACTTCGTTACTGTCTTTAGCATAGTGCTATCGTGCCATAGGTCGTTAATGAAAGGCTATTTATTGAATGAACAAAACTGAAATGATGCAGTACAGCATGGAATAATTTCTTTCTAATTTGGCTGTGCAAAGACCTATCTACCTTTTGTAGCAGTTTGGTTATATCTCAGGTCACAGGAGAAGGATTTCAGGAAGAGATTTGGCCAGGAAAAGGCCATCCTTGCATTTTAAAATGTGACATGGTTAAGAAATATGGTTAAGTATTTGGAATGGAACACATCTACATCTGAGCATTTTGAGGCACATCCCATGGGAAGAGCAGAGCTGGGTGCTCCTGATGAAGCTAGGCCTAGGAAAAAGCAAAGGAAGACTCAGGGCAGCTGGATTTCCGACTTGGGTCTGAGCAGGAGCTTCTTCAGAGTCTTCGGGCTGGGGAGGCTCTGTTGGGCTCTGTTGGTCACCCCCTTCATTTCCCTTTCCAGGTTTGTGTCAGACCAAGTGACATGGGACATAGACAGTCAGTTCCTGCTGGGCCCAGCCTTCCTGGTCAGCCCTGTCCCTGGAGCGTGAGTGGAGGCCTCCGATGGGGGAGGATCCCAGCTGTGAGCTTGGGGAAAAGGACAGAGAGGCCTGAGCTGGTGGAGGTCATAGACATGGTTTCTTATTCTCCCTGTGTCTCTTCACTTGCCCTGAGCTGAAGTCCATCACTTAGGTGTTGGGCCTCAGCTCCTTCATCTTTAAAATGGCCTAACAACTCTGGTTCATAGGATGATCAAGAAAAAGCACCTCATAGTGTATTAAATGACACAATCATTTCTTCGTTAACTAAAATAAGGAATAGAAGGTCAGATGGGGGCAGTATTGTAAAGAATTCATAACAATCTCCTAGCACTATTACAACTCTTCAGAAGGATTAGCAGCAATGTGTGTGCTACCGTACTGCTGCTGGCTAACCCTCCCTTCCTGTGCAGCAGCACCTCCCAGTAGTAAAAGGCATTTCTTTACTTCTGTTGTTGATTGGGCTTCTGATTAAAATACCAGTTAATTGCACCTCCCCAAAATCTTTTTTTTTTTTTTTTTTTTTTGAGACAGAGTCTTGCTCTGTCATCCAGGCTGGAGTGCAGTAGCACTATGTCAGCTCAGTGCAACCTCTGCCTCCCAGGTTCAAGTGATTCTTCTGCCTCAGCCTCTCGATGTAGCTAGGACTACAGGCGCCCACCACCATGACCGGCTAATTTCTTTTTTTTTTTTAGTAGAGTCAAGGTTTCACCATGTTAGCCAGGATGATCTTAATCTCCTGGCCTCAGAGATCCACCCTCTCAGCCTCCCAAAGTGCTGGGATTACAGGCGTGAGCCACCTTGCCCAGCCCCAAATCTGATTGTACCCACAAAATTTTTTTCTGCCCCAGACACAACCTCAGTTGTTTGTCTCTTTAAGAGTGAATGGCGTAAGCCTATTTCTATAAGCAAATATTGATTTTTTTTGTTCCCGAAGTCCTGGATACCAAAGTGCTTTATGAATGCCACTTGTTTTGGGTAGACAAATCTCCCCTGTTTGAAAAAAGAAAAGGAGTGGAAGGTTTCCCCAATGGCGACCTCTGAGAGATGAAAGCAAGTGGGCCCAAGGCCATCACATTTATTTAACCTCTTTCCTAAGCAGTTTGGTTTCTCTCTCCTGGAAAATGGTGCCCACTGTCTTACCTTGTTTGTGTTTCATTTTTAGAATGCAGAAATGTCACTGCATATTTCCTTAGAGAGCCGCTGAATGCGATTACTACACGGTAGGATTTTTCTGAATGTTTATACAACATGGAAAATGGTAGAAAACAAAGGCTTTAGATCTGGTAGACCTTAGGTCAAATGCTGGATCTGTAACCCACCTGCTGTGTGGTCTTAGATAAGTCACTTTAACCCTTGTAACCTCAGTTTTCTCACCTCCAAGTGGAGTAAGACCACTTCCCTCATAGAACCGTTGTGTAGTAACACATAAAGCATCTCCTCCAGGGTCTGGATTTTGTGGGTGTTCTCTTTGTGTTAGTTTTAATATTTCCTTATATCACTGCTATTTACTACATTTTGTAAAGGCAGATGCTGTAAACATTTGAGATTGTGTTGAAAACTATAGGTTTTGTTTTTAATGTTTATATATTTGCCTGCTGTAAGTTCGTAAGCATAGAGGCCTTTTTGTCTCTGTCTTTTTATTAAATATCTCCTTCCATCGCATAGATGCTCAAAGAAGGGTGATGCACGTAATTACCTAAGGCACACAAGTGATTAGACAATGTGCAAAACACACACAGAGGTGTGGGACCCAACCCTTGTGAGTCTAAGCAGTGCAAGTACATTTAGAAATGAGGCAGCAATGAAGAGCTCCTTGCCGCATGGTTCATTGCTAGTATGATTCCCAAGACTCAGCTGAGAAGTCAGGGTCTTCCAGGGCAGCTCTGGGGTGGTGGTCTCTTGCTGGGACCCTGAGAACTCAGACCCTGATTCTTGGGTAAGAATCAAAGAAGGCATTTCCTTGGTCCTAATGAGGCCTCTTCTGACTTTCTGAGAACAAAGTTGAGGGCTGCCTGTAAAAGGGAGTGCAAACAGGGTTACAAGAAGCAGAGCATGTGCTGGCCCCTTTCATCCAAAGAAGTTGCAGTGAGATTGGGTGAAAACTGGAGAAGGATGTACAATTTTGTTCCTTCTCTTCTCAGTCCATTGGAGCCCAAATCCTCCCCACTGCTCTAGACTCCCCTTCCTGTTGCTAGTCTGGATCTGCCCTTAGGGTGGTAACATGTTAAGGCTCTGCTATGTGCTCCCCAGCCAGGTCTTCCCTAGGAAGAGTGGCCAGCTTTCTTTAAGTGAGACTGGCCTTTGTCCTGAGTGTGCATGTTGAGTCTCTCATTCAGTAACAGAAGATGTCTTTGGTTGAAGAGGGAAAGACACAAGAAATCATGGTGAAAGCTGTTTAGAAAAAGATGAAATTTTGATGTTTAGTTAAAATGAAGATGAATTTTATAGTTAGGATTAATGAAGAAGTGTCACCTTAATTAATCTTGCCAAGTTTGGATACCTATTACTCGTTCTAGAGCACAAGCTGGCAAACTGTGGCCTACAACCATCTGATTGTTCGCTGATTTGTACATAAAGTTTTATTGGAACACAGCCATGCATATTTGTTTACATGTTGTCAACAATAATTGCTTCTTACCTGTAAAGTAGCAGCTCTCAAATGGGGATTTTGTCTACAGGGGACATTTGGCAGTGCCTAGGAGATATTTTGTTGTCACAACAGGGTGGGGAGTGAGGCGATGCTGTTGACATCACAGGATTCTGCTGAATATCAAAAAGGCACAGACAGCCCCATCACCAGAAAGTGTCTGGCCCTAAATCTCAAGTGGTGCTGAGACTGAAAAGCCCTGCTCTAGTTGACAACATGTGGGATGGGATGGTCCCTTAGGTTAGGTTTCTGATTCAGGTGAGAGAGTAGCACCTCTTTCATTAGCCACACATCAGGCAGATGTAGTTTGTACGGTGGAAGGCAGAGGCATAGACCCTAACGAGATAATAGTGCCCAGCCTTGTGAGATTTCATGCAGCACTGGGTGAGCCTTAGAATGAATAATGAGTATGTGGCGAGGTGATGAGCAGGCATAAGTTCAGAGGGAGGATGAGATGTCTGGCAGGATGCATTGTTCGGGGAGGGCCTGTTTTCTCCTTCGTCATCTCTTACCTTCTTCTGCCCACAGGGTGTGGATATTAATGCAAGAGGAGAGTGGAAGACCTTGCCAGCCCCTCTTGACCACATTAATCTTCATGTCCGTGGGGGCTACATCCTGCCCTGGCAAGAGCCTGCACTGAACACCCACTTAAGGTGAATGACAGGACTCAGGTTTTCCTTTACATGTCAGTTAGCTCAACAGTACTCAGGTTTTCCTTTACATGTCAGTTAGCTCAACAGTCTGTAATGACGTCCACTAAAACGTAAGCATCAGTCTCAAGCCCGCATGCAATTTTACTCAACACTTGTTGTTCTTTGTGCTTGTTTGTACTTTAACCTTTTTCAGACTCTACCCTCTTTGACTAATTATTAACAGTTCTTTTATGTCTAAGGGAGTGAGATGATAGGTCTAAGAGTGTCCTCTTTCAATCTCACGATTGAAATGGAAGTCAAAATAGGAGCAGCCATGATTCATAATAGTTTTAGTATACTATTGGGTCTAATTGAAGCTTTCCTAAGAAAACTATTGCTGAAAAATTGTTTATTCCTCTACAAGATGTTAAAATTCTAGATCAAAGTCTATGTATCAATCAACCATAAGTAACATCCAGTGAATGCTTGCCCTGTGCCTAGAGCTATATGAATATGGGCATTTCCATGTGGAAATTATGTATTTTTTCTTAGCAAAAGGAAAACATAAATTCTGTGAGGTTAGTAGTGTTACCACCATTTATTTCATAGATGAGCAAAAAGGCTAAGTGATTTGCTCAGAGTCACACAGCTAGTAAGTACATGAACGTGGACTAAAATTCACATCTCTCTGGTATCAGTACTAAAATTCTTAGACTCCCTATTCATTTGATTCCAAAGATTTAAAGAAAAATGAAGGACTTAAGACATTTGAAAGTAGAACTCCCTCTACATGTTTTGGATATTAGGTCACGAAAACAGAAAGATTTCAGCATCAGGATTTTCCTTTCAAAAGGTAAAGAAAGAACCCAGTTAGTTTGGTTGTCGTTACTTTAAGAGCCTTAAAGGAGAATCCTCTTGATTCATTCACTAATTCATTTGTTCATGATATTAAGTCATATAGCCAGATGGAGACAGAATTAGAACTAAGTCACAAGTCTTTTGAATTCTAGTATGCAGTCTTTATCCCCCAAAGCACTTCCCTTTGCTGCTTTATGTTTGTATATAAACTCTTGGTGTGTGGCTGTGGCTTTGCTTTTAGCTAATGCTTCTCTCCCACCTCACTGCAGCCGCCAGAAGTTCATGGGCTTCAAAATTGCCTTGGATGATGAGGGAACTGCTGAGGGCTGGCTCTTCTGGGATGATGGGCAAAGCATTGGTGAGTAGGGGTCACCTGGGATTCATGCTGATGGCGCTGACTACATTCCTGGATTATCTTACAGGCCTGCTTTCACCTTTTCCCTGTTAAAACAGTTTTGCATTTTAAAACATAATCACTTGTTAATTCAAGTGTATAATCCACATTGGACATGATCTTTATTCCTCATGTAAATGAAACTCAGTTCTGAATCATCTCCCATTATGCAACTGTTGTAATCCACTGTAGAAGGTAGCAATATGGGAGCCATGGGGAAAGTTTACCTGTAGCCAGCTGAGATAAAATTTCAGAGGATTTATGATCAAGGACACGTTGCCTAATTACATGGTTTACTGTCCCAGTGAGAGGGGTAATACCTCTATCAGTTGTATTTTTTATGGGATATTTTCTATTAGGAGTTTATAGGAATTGGTAAACTCTCAGGAGGATTGCTCAAGAAATTATTAGCTATTTCTAGACAAGTGCTGTCCAACAGAACTTTCTGCAGTGATGACAATGTTCTGTATCTTCTGCTGTTCAATATTGTATCTACTAGGCATATGTGGCTATCGAGCACTTGAAATGTGTGACAAGTGCATCTGAAGAATTGAATTTTTAATTTTGTTCAATCTTAACAAGCTTAAGTTTAAACAGTTACATTTTACTAAGTGACTACTCTCTTAGCACAGTTGTAAGGGATAGCCAGTGGCAACTGACTGAGTGGTGAGTCATTTAGAAAGGGGCCAGCACGACCGGGCTCAGTGGCTCATACCTGTAATCCCAGCACTTTGGGAGGCTGAGGCGGCCAGATCACCTGAGTTCGGGAGTTTGAGACCAGCCTCACCAACATGGAGAAACCCCGTTTCTACTAAAAATACGAAAAAATTAGCCGGGTGTGGTGGCACATGCCTGTACTCCCAGCTACTAGGGAGGCTGAGGTAGGAGAATTGCTTGTACCCGGGAGGTAGAGGTTGCAGTGAGCCGAGATGGCACCATTGCACTCCAGCCTGGGCAACAAGAGTGAGGCTCCATCTCAGGAAAAAAAAAAAAAAGAAAGAAAGAAAAAGAAAGGGGCCAGCACACAGGGAAGAGTGTGACAGCCACGAGGGCAGGGTGTAGGATGGGAATACTTGAAAGCAAATGGTTGACTAGTTCCCCTTCACTGGCTGTGCTGAACTCCATATTCTTCCTGGGCCTGTGGCACACATTTAGGATAAAGGACAAAGAAGCCTTTTCTTTGATCATCTTTGTTCTCTGGAGATCACATTTTTAAGTTTGCCTAATACCTCAAGATAAACCCACCAAGACACCAGTGTCGGTGTTTATGTATGTATGTGCATATAAATGTGTGTGCAGACATGTGTATATACAGCAAAAGAAACCTGGAAATTCTGCGCTGATTAGGAAGATGCTGGGAATAGTAGACCACAAGGAAGAGAAGTGACTTAAAAATGGTGTCAGGAAACTGTGTTGTATGAAGTGACTCTGTCACACAGATGCATCTATACACATTCATTTCAAACATTTTGTGCAAACTGAGTATGGGTGCAGGGTTTGATTAAGTCCTCTCCATAAAGAGGACTTACATTTTAAAATAGAACACTCAAAAGACAGAAAATAAAAACGAAGATAAGCCTTACTCTCTCAACAAGTAACTTGGAAGTCTACTTCTCCAAGACAAGTAGAAAATTAGAAGAGCATTTACATATTCTATAGCATAGAGTTCTACAGCACAGGCCCAGGCCATGTTTATCTTGTTGTCTGTTTGCAGATACCTATGGGAAAGGACTCTATTACTTGGCCAACTTTTCTGCCAGCCAGGTGAGTGTGACTGATATGAAGTGAGATTAAGATTCCACTGGCTTAGGAGGATGCTGAATATCATAAGCGCATAAAATACCACCTAGAAATTCTTCATTGCTCACCTTGCTAATTCACATTCTTCTACTTCTCTAGACTTCTGGTGGAAATTTACTATGCTCCCAGGAGGCTTTCTGCAATTAAACCTATCCTCATCTCATCAGTAATAATCATTAGTCCAGTTTACCATGTTACAGATGGATGGGCTGTTTCTGTTATCTAGCCCTTGTTCCTAAGTTACCTTGGAATGGTCGGCACATTTTGTGATTCCTCCACCTGTAGAATATAAGTATCTTGACAGTTGAGACTTTTGTCTCCTATAGAGTTCAGGGCAATGCAAAAGACCCTGCAGCTACTTGTCAATGCAAAGTGGATGGGAGTTGGCAATAGGAGACAGAGTGATGAAATCATGGTTTCCGTGATCCAAAGACACAAGATGGTGACTCTGAAGTTGTCTTACTTTATGATCTACATTTGTGCCTAAAAAGAGGTTAGAAAAAATTTGAACTAATTCTGCTATTATCTTTTTTTTTAATCTCCAATTCGACAGAATACGATGCAAAGCCATATAATTTTCAACAATTACATCACTGATACAAATCCTTTGAAACTGGGCTACATTGAAATCTGGGGAGTGGGCAGTGTCCCCATCACCAGTGTCAGCATATCTGTGAGCGGCATGGCCATAACACCCTCCTTCAACAATGACCCCACGACACAGGTTTGTGACTGGCGAAAAGTGCGAATGGTATTTTCCACCCTTAATATGCCTAGTGCAGTGCCTGACTGCTTCCCTTCCAAATGATGCCCTCTCCTACCAGGCCCTCCGGGAATCCCTGAGTTTTCAGTGTGTTAGGAATGGACCACGTGGAGATGAATGAAAAATCATGGTTTATCATCATTTGGAATGCATGGCCTGGATTCTTACTTTCTATGTTTGTCTCCTTGTCTGCAAACCTATGTAACACTTTGTCTTGACTCTCTCACCTCTGCCTCAGAGATCAACTTTCCAAATAGGTTGAACTATCATATTTTATCAAATATGATACCAAATATATCAAATATGCTTCATTATTTCATGTGCCACAAAGAAAGAAAAAAGGATGACAAAACTATGATAGAATGCTTCCTTATCACTCAATTTTTTTTTTTTTTTAAGACAGAGTCTTGCTCTGTTGCCCAGGCTGGAGTGTAGTGGCGTGATCTCAGCTCACTGCAAGCTCCGTCTCCCAGGTTCACACCATTCTCTTGCCTTAACCTCCCAAGTAGCTGGGACTACAGGTGCCCGCCACCACGCCTGGCTAATTTTTTGAATTTTTAGTAGAAACAGGTTTTCACCATGTTAGCCAGGATGGTCTCGATCTCCTGACCTTGTGATCCGCCTGCCTCGGCCTCCCAAAGTGCTGTGATTACAGGTGTGAGCCACCGCGCCCAGCCTCAGATTTTTATAATAAACTTATAGAAAGTTGTTGAAACTTCTTTAGACATAAATTTTTAGCTGTATGTTTCAATATTGTAAGTGATAATATGGAGGAAAGTGTTGAGTGGAGATACGTTGCTGATTTTGCCTCAAAGTAATTTAGAAGAGGTAGACCCTAAATGTGAAGAAGCACCAGAAATAGCTTAACCAATTTGTATCATATTTAAATTGTACGATTTACATTTGTGTTAAACTGTTTTATTATTTAAATAGTTTATTGTATTTATTATTATTGTGAAGAAAAATCTGTGTCAGTAAGATATTTCCTCTGTACTGCAAAAGGTGTTGGTGATTCAGCATTTATAAAAATCCTTCCACTAGTGTCTATGAAGTTTTTTCCTGAGCCACTGACACACTTTATATACATTTTTATCCCAGTGCTTTCTTGATCTTACTAACTCTTCCTTCCTGTAATAATCCTTAAATGTTTTCAGCCCATCCATTCATAACACAGTAATAGCAATGAAGCTTACACGGGCACAGACAATAATGATTATGCCATGAGTGCTGCCTGGCTCCCAGTATTCTATGGTTATCGATTACAAGACACACTCTGGTCGCATGAAAAATCTCTACCTTGGGATTAATGCAGTGTAGTGGTCCTGACACTTTATCATCCCGATGGTAAATGAAACTTTCTTCCTTGTGTGCTTACTTATTATTTTTTTTCCTGAACTTTTTTTCTTTCATAATCTTTCCTGATGATTAAACCTGAAACAAAAGTTTTCTTTCAGTTTTGCATTCTTTACATTTATTTCCTCATACTTGTGGTTTTCTTGTCAACAACTTCCCCAACTATGCCTTAAAGGACTTTGCCCAGTCCTACTGCTGACCAGCTCATGGACAGATACGCAAGCTGATGAGGGCACATGCAGTGAAACCTTCTTGAGAGCATCTGCCTAGGAAGAAGCAGGAATAGTGAACTCTTGCTGGGCAAACACTGGGGTGGATAGAGGAATAGGAGAAGGAGGAAACAGAAGGGTGGTGCCAAGAAAAATCAGCACCTCCGTAGAATGGAAAAGAGGGTGTTCTCTCCAGTTTGTGCAGTTGTTTCTCTTCAGTGGTTGCATATTGAACTTTTTTTTTCTTTTTTTTGTTTTTGTTTTTACACTGAGTCTCACTCTATTGCCCAGGCTGAAGTACAGTGGTGCAATCTTAGCTCACTGCCATCTCCACCTCCCGGGTTCAAGTGATTCTCCTGCCTCAGCCTCCCGAGTAGCTGGGATTACAAGCACCCACCACCATGCCTGGCTAACTTTTGTATTTTTAGTAGAGCCGGGGTTTCACCATGTTGGCCAGGCTGGTCTCAAACTCCTGACCTCAAATGATCCAACTGCCTGGGCCTCCCAGAGTGCTGGGATTACTGGTGTGAGCCACCACACCCGGCCCATCTCTACCATTTAATATTTTGAATGGTAAACATAAAATATTAAAATATAATTTAAATAAATCTTGAATTAGTTAAAGGCCATCTCTACCACTGAATATTCTTTGTACTCTAAAAAATTAGAAACACTTCTCTCATCTGAAACTTTGAGGGCAATCTTTTAACTAGACAGTACAATATAGAAGTATTAGGGGGTTATTTGGACCGTATACTTGCACCTAATTTATTTGCATGCAGTAAATTTCAATACCAGATGCCCAATTCTTTTCCTTTGGTTCCTAACAGGTATTAAGCATCGATGTGACTGACAGAAACATCAGTGTACATAATTTTACTTCATTGACATGGAGAAGCACTCCGTGAATTTTTAGAGCAAGATTCTAACTATGAACGACTTTGAAACTACTTCTACTTCATGCTCATAAAAATTATCGTGTGTTGCTAATTGGTTCATACCCACTGTTGGTGAAATATTTTTGTTACTTTTGTTGTATGTTTTGTGTGTGAACCCTAAAGGTTAAATCTTAGCCCTGTGGGATGGGCAGTTAGGGAGGTGTGGAAAATCTGTGCATTACCTGACTGTCTCTATGTGGTGAGTGTGGTAGTGATTGTTCATCATATGACATTGACTGAAGATGAACTGGGTCCACGATGAAGTGTGTGTATGTCCATGTGTGTAATCATGGAATGGACCCCATTCTCTTGTTAAACACACAAGAAAAAGCTTTCCGTGGCAGTTCCAGGTCTTGAAGCTAATCAGCATCTCAAGAAAGTCTCCAGAAAGAACATCTGCTAGTTGATTATAGGCAGCAGGGGGAATAATACACCTAATTGGTTATTAGTGGGGGGAGGATGATAAGCAAAGAAAAGGCAAACACAAGGAAAGATCAGAGGAAACAGAAGATGATAGTAAAAGTGATCATAGTAAGAACATAATGTAAAATTATCAACAGCCTCATGGGGAGGAAAAAGGAAGAGTCAACTCACCTGAGAGAAGAGGGTCTTGAGAAATCTTTAGCATAAAGGGCTAGTGGTGAGATTGAGATCTGAGCGGGCAAAGCTGAAAGGAGAGTTTGGAGGTTAAAAATAATTTATTTTTGCAGGGGTGTGCTTTGAAGTGTGTAAATCTTATTTCTAATGTATATAACCACATTTCACACAAAAATATGCAATTTATATGGCGGATAAAAATAAAACAAGTGAATTTGCAAGTAATTTTGAATTTTGTGCTATTTTGAACATGAGTAATCTCTGTTTGGGGTTAAGGTAGTTGTTTAGCAAACTCTTATGAGTTTGTCTTTCCGATTCTCTTTGGCATCACAGAACCTGCAGCCAAATCCACCAATAGGATGATAACCTTTATAATTGTCTTTTTCTTACATCTCTGCAAGGAGTCTTTTATAAGATGTAGGTTTGTGGAAGGGTCTATTGATTACTATTTTAATCATCATAGCAATTGCTAAATTTAGGAAAATACCAACTCCGGTAAAAATAGGGGTTGCAACCCTCTTGCTTAAAATTCTGTAGGGTTAAAATTTGAGATAAGGAAATTATATATTAATGTTCAACAGGAATATTAACTTTTGATGTTACCTGAAAATGGGTTGAAAATGAATGTGTTTGGAATGAGTGAGTCTACTTCCCTGTGTTTTTTTCTTTTCTTATGACCAGGAAGTCATTCGTTCTCCCTGCTCACTTATGTGTCAGCACCTGCATAAGGCTAGAGACAAACAATATTGTTAAATCATGTGATTATCACAATAAGGGGCATTTGGATGAGGGCCTGAGCTAACTAGAAAACTGGTGAAATATGGAAAACCGGCCATAGGAATCCTTTGATTAAAAAAGTGGAAAACTTGTCAACTCTAACAAACTCAGGAAGGTCACAATGATGAAAACATTATTTACTTGATATTTAAGAAATATTTAATGTTACCATCAAGGATCTATTGGAATTTGGCTCTGGCTGCCACAAAGTGCTTAAGGAGAGGCATTCTGACTACGTAAATCTGACAGCCAAGGCCCTAGTGAGGCCAGTGGGGTTTTGGAGCATGTGAAGTGTCAGGGACCCCACTGACAGCCTAGTGAAACCTACAGAATTCCTCCTCACAACATTGTTTTTAAATGCATCAGGAAAAATGCATGCTATTTCAAAGAAAACTTACATTACAAGATACTTATCCAAACATCAAAGAGAAATTGATATAGTAACCCATGAGATGTGTTTTTTTCATTATCAAATTAAATGGAAAGATCCAACAGTGGAAGTAACAATGCCATAATTTCAATGTAATGATCAACATCAACAATATTTTGAGATATCCACTAAAATCTCATAATGTAATGTGGAAAGAGCTGTGATTCCATTTTTGACAAACTCATGCTCTGTGAAAACTACTGTGCTCTGTTGTCTACATTCATAACCTAACAAAATGCTAAATTTCAGCCAGAAATGTATGAAATACGGTTGGAACCAATATGGCTTGCCGGAGTTAACGCAGAGAGAGCTTGCTGATGTCACAGCCTGAATTTCCACCACAGTTTCATACTAACTCCCTCCCAAATTTGCACATGGGACCCATGATGAGGCCTGAAGAGATAACTGTGCATGCCTGAGGACTTTCTAGATCTCCCCTTTCTTTCACCAATCACCTGCTAATCCCAGCATCCATCCCCTAAGCCTTTTCTGATAAAAATACTTCCTTAAAGCTAGCACAGGAAGACAGGTTTGAGCTGGACTCCTGTCTCCTGTGAGTCGGCTTGCAATAAAAGCCTTTTCTTCAAAACCCTTTGTCAGAGTATTGGCTTCCAGCACATTGAAGAGTGAGCCCTTTTGCTCAATAACACCCCCAGAGGTTGTTCCTCAGACCACACTCTGAGAACCACCTCTCATGGAACCATATCCATTTGTGGCCATCCCAGAGCAGCTCCTACAACGTGGACCTATGCTTACAACTCCTGGCCAGCTATTCAGGAAGAGGCTGGGGGCCTTCCTTTTCCACATATGCTCTGTTCTTCAGATCACATAATTTTACTTTCTTTCTTCATAGGTGTGCCAAAATAAAAAATAACACTCTCAAACTCTTTCACTTAAATAGGAAGACATCTATTCCTTTCTTATTAATGTTATAACATTAAATGTCATATATACCTACAAAGATAAGGTTTTGTTGGCCGTGGCAGATATCGTCAAGATCCCAACAATATTTCTTTGTTCTTATCATAGCAGCAGAGTCATTGAGAGTTTTGCACCTGGCCTTGGAGAATGGTGTTCTGGAAGTTAGGGGTGACTCATATTACAAGTTTCTGATGTGATGATTCCAACTAGCAGCTTGCTTTGACAACTGTTTGAGTTCCACCAAGAGCTAACTTTACTGTGCCTTCTTACCGATAGACAACTGGAAGATGTCGGGTCACGTGCCCGTCTCTACCCTACAAAGTGGTTCTGTTATTTTCTCGTTGGTCAACACCAGTATGGTGATCCAGTATCTTCCAGGTAGTTAGCAAGAAGGGATGGTGAAGGTAGCTATTTTCTGCACTTTAGGAAACAGGTTATAGATTATCTGGGATTGCTGGTTACCACTATTACATAAAAGAAGTCACAAATGTGCATGGCATGTGGGGAGTTAAAGGTAAAATATCACACAAAGAATGGAAAGATCTTATGTAACAATAAATCTCCCTTCTTGATCTTGCCAGGATGTCTTCCCAATTTGAAATGAGATCTTGGTATGTTTCCCCTCTAACAAAGGCCACCTTGTATTGGGGCAAATGAAAAGCTGAATATGTCATTCCAGGAGTTCATAAATGCAGAAACCTAGTCTCTCTTTCTGTGTGTGTGTGTGTGTGTGTGTGCGTGCGTGCGCGCGCATGTGTGCTTTTCCATATACTGAGCATTTGAAGCAAACACAAAGGATTCGCCACTATGAACACTGTTATTTACAGTTCTTAGGTGCCACCAAAAGAGCCCTCTGTATCCTCATATATTACTGGCAGGAATGGGGTGTAAAATGATGCTGCCACATTAGAAAGCAGTTTTGTAGTCCTTCGAAAAGTTAAAGACTTCTCACATGACCCGTGATTCCACTCCTAGGTATGTTCCAGGCAGAATATTAAAAAAACACGCCAGCTCGTAGCAGCATTGTTCATAACAGGCAAAAAGTATCAACAACCTAGATGTATAGCAACTGATATGTGGATAAACCAAATGTGGTTCATCCATGCAGGGGATACTATACAGACATGGAAAGGAACAAACACTGATACCTGAAATGGCATTGATGAACTTTGAAAATATTATGCCAAGTAAAAGAAGCCAGACACAGATGGCCACATATTGTATGACTGCATTTATATGAAATGTTCACAATAGGCAAATCCATAAGGACAGAAAGTAGGTTAGTGGCTGCAGAAACGGGGGGAGATGGGAATGGAGAGTGACCACTAATTATTTTTTTGGGGTGTGACAAAAATATTCTGGAATTAGATAGTGGTGATAGTTTCAGAATTTTGTAATATTTTTAAAAAAAACACTGAATTGTATACTTTAAAAGAGTGAATCTTATGGCTTGGAAATTATATGTCAATTAAAAAATCCACTTTAGCTAGCTTAAGAAAACTTTTAAAAAGGTATTGGTGACTCAGTGAAACTCCAGTAGGACTAGAGAGTCAGGTTTGTAGGCCATGTGGCTAGGGACAAGCCCCAGGTTACCCTGTAGGGGTTTCTGCTGCCACTACCCTGAGCACATATCTGGCAGCTTGCAACCCCAAATACTGAGCATAGGATGCCCCTAGGTCTCTTGTCCCTGCTGCCTCTGAAACGAGCTATCTTTCCAACATCCTGAGTTTTACACAGTACCTCCTTATCTACACCTTCTTCTGGATGTAAGTCACTCAAGGGAATATCTCATTCACAAAGCTCCAGTCACTTTCCTCTACCTTGGGTGAAAGAGAGGCTGCGAAAGAGAATTTCCAGCTGTTTCTTTGGGGAGGCAGGATTTGGAGAAAAATTCCTTAAGTTGATTTAAGAGGTTTTTTTTTCTTTTTAAAGATTCTCTGTTTTTAATTTTTTTTCAACTTTTATTTTAGATTCAGGGTCTACGATTCAGGGTGCATATACAGGTTTGTTTCAAGGGTATATTGTGTGGGATGCTGAGATTTGGGGTGTGATTGAACCTGTCACCTAGGTAGTGAGTAGATAGTGTTTCAACCCTTGTCTCCCTCCCCACCTCCCCCATCTTAGCAAGAAGTTTTGAAAGATGCTGAGCCATCACAGAATATGACAAATATCCACTAGAGGCGTCTTCCCACTTTAGGTTTGTATACTTTCTTTCTTTTTTATTTTTGTTTTTTGAAATGGAGTTTTGCTCTTGTTGCCCAGGCTGGAGTGCAATGGGGCAATCTCAGGTCACTGCAACCTCCGCCTCCTGAGTTCAAGTGATTCTCCTGCCTCAGGCTCCTGGGTAGCTGGGATTACAGCCGCCTCCCATCACGCCTAGCTGTAGAGACAGGGTTTCACCACATTGGCCAGGCTGGTCTTGAACTCCTGACCTCAGGTGATCTACCCGCCTCGGCCTCCCAAAGTGCTGGGATTACAGGTGTGACCCACTGCGCCCAGATAGGTTTGCATAATTTCTACCTCAATGGTGCTTCACTATTTAGAATAATTGGTGGAAAGGATCATTTGAATTAATGAAAAGCTGAGTTATACCAAGAGAACTCTGGAGGATGAAAATGGAGAAAAGAACAAAGTGATGAACCGAGAGCTAATCCTTCTTTCACTTACTTATTAAATAAATAGCTATACACTTAGAAAGAACTGTGGATATTGGGCAGAGTGCTAAGCACAGGAGATACAACAGTGAAGAAGATAGACAAGACCCTAGCTCCTGAGCCCTTTAGGCTACATGTACAGATGAGGAAGCATAACTTGACAATCAAAGTAATCAGATATGAACAGGGATACAGAGGAGGGACAATGATTAGAAGAAACACCACCTTCCCCTTTTATTAACAAAAGGAGCTTTCATTCTATGTCACATGGAGAGCAAGGGTTCTTTTATGATCTACTGGAATATGCACTCCCCTCCTCCAATTACTGTCAACTTTATAGGGCAATAAATTAATCGTGGCAGAAGCTGGCTACCTCGGCCCAGTTACCTTTGCTCAGTGCTTCCTATGAATCGCTGAGGGAGAGACACAGCACAGAAAA